GCTGGGTCGGGGAGCTTACAGCCGTGTTTCCTCAGCGGTAGGCTAGCTCACCTCAGGGCTGCCTACATACGCTTTCGAGACTGATTTGTTTTACCCTAATTACACATACATGCAAACTATTGTACTACAAGTTAGGGTAGTATACTGGGATGAGACAGAGGGGGAAAAAAAAAAAATAATTACCTGAACCACATGTCATCTTTCCCTTTAGAGCTAAAAATATTAGAGTGAGGAAGGGATACCAGTTTTCAGTATGCAGAAAAAGGGAAAAAAACCCAATCCCCTAAGCCTCTGCTTCAGCATTTGACAGCTGACAGGAATATAGAAGTGTCAGCACATAATTTCTCTTCCAATGATAGAATCAAGGGAGCAGTGTGTAACGTGCAGCAAGTGGGACGCATTCCTCAGTTTAGCAGAGCACATAATCATATTATGCAACATCCACTCAGTTAAGTATATTGCTGAAGTGCTTTGCATAGAAAAAGGCCTGGAAAACCAATAGCACAGGAGGAGGCGGTGGGAAGCTGGTTATATATACATCTTCGCTTTTTTGTTTCAGTAAGTCAGATTGCAGTGGTTTTATTTAAAGAAGCAAAATGTCGTTTAGCTACAGGAATTCTTTCTGGTGTGCAATATGTGTTCAGCGAAGATGCATATATGGCATAAATCCAGCTTTTTTTTTTTTGATCTTGCAATCCATTAGAGTTGTAAATATTTGCTGTGATACAGATTATTAGCTTAGGTCTAGGAATAAGCTGCAGTGCCTTTCAACTACATGACATTGGCAGTTATGCAGCTAACACAAAAGCTTGGTAATTTTAAGTCTGTCTACAGCATTCACTAGTATGAGTTACACACATCATCACAGGAAGCTTGATCCTGACTGATGATGGTAGTTCCTGTATGTAAAAACAGCTAGGCACTTAATAGAAATATGGGTTGATATCATATAGATACAGGACAATCAGTGACAAAGTCTCCTCCTTCAGCTGGAAAAATTGATTTTCAAAAATCAACATACATATTAAATTGTTTGTTTATAAAATCCTGCACACATAAAGGAGGCATATTAAATTTCAAGTTCAAACCTTGTTTAAGGGATGAATTATGCTTTGTAACCTGAGGTTAAGCAGAAATAAGGTACAGAAGCTCACTGACGAACCACAAACCTAATTTTCTTCCCAGAAAGCATGAAGAGTACTGCCCTGAGGTTTCTTTGGGAAATGCTTTCTAATATTAGCCTCATTCCATAACTTCTAGTATACCAGACCTTAACCATAGTGGAGGCTAGACAAAAACATCACCTCAAGGAATGTCATTTTCCTCAGTAGCTTGGTGGAAAGTGTTCTAGGTGACTTTAGAATGAAGGCATACCTCCCTCACCCCCATCATGAGTGTCCACTTTATACCATTGCTTACCTTACCCAAATTCCAACCTCATGCAGCAAATTGGTTTAGTGACAAAGGCACTCATACTTTACATGTTAGCTTTAATACTCGAATGCAAGTTCTGTCACCCATTACTATTTCAGGATAAACTTTTTCCCTATTGAGGTTAATCCTTAATTAACCTCACCTCCAAACCTATAGCTTTGCAGATGCTTATCGTGTTCATCTGTTCTCCTCCCAGTTTTTACTGAAAGAAACCCTCCGCATAACCATTTTCAGTTCCACAATTACAATATTACTAAGGTGAATGCAAAAGTGATACGGGAAGGATAGCCCAGGCATGCGTCAGGACTTAGCCTAGATTCTCAAGTGTGTATTCCTGCCACATTTGTCTTCTGCTACAAAACAAGTAAATGAAGTCAGCATGAAAGCTTCTACCATTATTTTGGGTCAAGAAGAAAAAAAGAACCTTTTTACAGGTGGCAAGGTTTGAAAACTTAAAAGATTGACATTTACCTCTTACAATGTTTTGCATTATAGCATTGAGAGACAAGTAATAGAGGTGTGAAATAAACTTGTGATGTCCCCATTTTAGGTATGCCAGTATCTCACAAGGCAAAGCTATGCTGGGAAAAAAAAAAAAAAAAGCGCAAGTTAACTAGAAAAATACTCCTGCATTGGCTTATTGTTAATCTTAGTGCTAGGTCTCAAAAGCCTAACTTGGAAGGCCTTTACCACTTCACTGAAGAGATAGGTCTTGTGAGCTTTATTGATTGGTTGATTTTTTTTTTTATTATTATTTTCTCCACACAGCTATTAAAGTCTTCAAGAGCACTTATTTTCTAGAATAGCCTGCAGTTTGGCGATACCCCAGGAGAGAAAGACACAGAATCCAGAAAGGAAGATACCAAATCCTCTCCATCTAAGGAACTCTGCCTCTCACACTTTCCAGGTAGGTGCCCCAGCCACTACCTTATTGATTAAGAGTAGCAGTGTTTGGACATATTTGAGATAAAATGGGGTTTTAAAAATACATGTATATATGTGTATGTATATAGAAATTTTATAGAAAACTTCGGAACGACTTTGGAATGAGTACCTCATGAGAAACAGGTAATGAAATGCCCAGTTGCTTCATCCTATCCCATCAGGCTTGAAATATAAGGCAGCTAGCTTGGTTCCATTAGGATCATGATGGTGGTTATGTTCAGGAAACTAGCTTTGTATGGGTGGATAGATCAAAGAGGTATTTTTGATGTTAGAAGTATCTAGTCCCAGGTGGCAGCTGATAAAATGTTTTCAGAACAACAGTTTTGAGCTTAAGTACACACTTTAGGTTTGATAAACCCTTTCAGTTATTCTTCAGTTAAGTCTATCCTCATCAGTTCTTCTCTAAAGTGTGAAAATAGATTGTGGGGTGCCATCATGCAAGCCCTTAAAAGGGAAACTGTAAGATACTGAATGATTATTCAGTGCACCATAGTAATTTTTTTCATCTCTGAACAAGCAGTAACTCCATCTGTGTGTATCTACCTCCAAATAATTTGTTCTTGCTTCTCAAGTCCCAGATTTGAAAAGCATATATAATTTGATATTGGCAGTGATATTGTCATTCATTCTGTCAATGAGGCTGTACCGTGGAAGACTTTTTACAAAGAGGGATAAGTGACTAAAACAGAGTCCACAATATAGTTTTAAAGCCCCCTCCTTCAAACTAGTAAACGTAGGCTCCTGTGTCTATACCATCAGACTTCTGAATCAGCATAAATGGAGATTGTCTCAAGAGATTAATCTGCACAGTAGCTTTCTCAAGCTCTAAAGCCATTTGTATGATTAGTCCTACTCTGCAGTGAGCCAAGCTGCTTTTTTTTTTTTTTAAAAAAAATTCATAACTATGCAGTAACAGATTTTATGAGAAACCACAGAACTGAAGTCTGTTGTTTTGAAACAAAACTTTTCAGATCTGCTTTCTCAAAAGCTATGGTAGATACTTCCTGTGTATACATTTAATTTGCCCCTTCAGGTCACCAAGACCTTAGCGTGTTTTGTAAGGATTTTACCTCTCCTGTGTCTATTCCCAAGATTATCACTTAATATCCAAAGTTACCAAGTACCATGCTATCACCAAAACCTTAGTTCTTAATTTTAGAGTTTTATAGCTATTAATTATTGTGAAGAAAACCTTCATGGGTTAAAAGCCTGAGTGAAAGCTTTATCAGCTAGTAGATACTAGAAAGAAGGAAAGACAACTTGTAGGATTGTCAAAATCCAGTTTGTGCTTGCTCACTGTCATTCAGTGACTCATTTATGCTTATAGTTTTCCTCCAGAGTTGGTTGCTTTCCTCCCACCCTTTACTTTTGCTTACCTGTGAAAAGCATCAGAAATAAATTAAGCTATCTTATCCAGATATTCTGTGCTGAGATGTTCCAGAGATAAATATTTAAGGACAGAGTTCTCAGTAAGACACAATATAGTCTAGTCTGCATTAGCAGGTTAAATGGGGTGCAATGCATATGGTTCACAATCTATTTTCCCTACTCTTCAGCATATACAACTAAAAGGTAACAGTTTAAGCCAGGCTTAGGTACTTTTTAAGGTATTTTCAAGAGTACCTAAGCAGCAAGGGATAGCTGTGTACAATCTTATCAGCCACCACAACATACTGATGACTAGACTATGCAGTATAAATACATATAAATTCTAATTTCTGTTCAAGGACTAATTTTCGCCAAAGAACATGGTATTGCATTTTTCTTGCCACAAGAGGGAGCCATTTAAATTCTTGTGATTAAAAAAGCAGTTTGAAGAACGCAGATTAAAAAAAAAAGTATCTTAATACATGATTGGCCATGTTGATGTCCTTTATACCGTTTGATATAATTCCTTTAAAAATAGACATCTTGTTTCTGAATATCAGATAATTTAATCTTATTCTAAATAATCCCAGCACATGTAGCAAGGATGTTCGATTTTTGTGCATGTCAGCTGTCATGCTGGGGTTGCACA